TTTTTTTTTTTTTTAGAACTTTTGTTGCGTTGAAATTTGTACAGAACGATGAGAAAATTGTATTTTTAAGGTCTGTATATACGTAGAACGTGAACTTTTTAAATTATTACCGGAGAGTTATCGGTTAATAAACAATTCGCTAGTTTTGTAAATTATTCTACACTAGGCCTTCTCTTTTACTTTGTAGCCATTGCTTTATATTTGAATCGTCGATTCTGCTTGAACCACACACATGCTAGCAATAAAATCTTTAGTAAAGACGAATTCGATTTACTCACGTCAACAACAATCAATACTGGCAAGACGAACTCAGATTGATACATAAATCTAATAAAAAAGGAAAAAAGAAACGAGGAGTTTCCTCCTTTAAAGAAAAGATTTTTCATTTCTACAATTCGTTGCCATGTTATCATAATAAGTTTCAGTACGCTTGCGTAAGGCGTGAAAAGTAAAATCCTTCGCAGGGTATGCCACGTACATTCCCTCTCTCTCTCTCTCTCTCTCTTGATATTTTACTACACGATTGTTAGTTGAACCCGAGAGAACTTATCAAGATCGTATCTGATGCCTGCGAATTCTCCTTTCTTCCTCTTTGTCCCGTGTTCCTTCGCTGATCGTGCACACGCCTGTGGATCGTACATGCACGACAAGACAATGAAGCATAACCCCCCCCCCCCTCTTATAACTTTCCATCCCCAGCGAAGAGGAAAGTCGATGAAAAGAACGGCCGGTTTAATTAGACGGTTCCTGAGATACGATTTGCCCCTACATGATCCGTGTTAAATCGTACATACGATACTGTTCACAGGATACCGGAAGTTGCAGCTTGCGAAGCGTGAGTGTCCAGTTGGCGAACAACTCTGTCTCTTTTAACGGCAACCTTTCACGGTGTGCGTGCATCCGGTGCCCGCGGAAAAATCGAAAGATTGCGTGAAGAAAAAAAAGAGAAAAAGAATTCTTTCCTCTATTGCTACTAAACTACACGTTTCCGCTCTAGTTCTTAATAAATACCCTGTTATTGTAATCACGGCTCTGACGATTTTACTTGATCGATATTTGTCGAAAGTCGAGAGTGCTCGAGTGAAAAATCTCTCT